GGATGGCATCGAGTAGTGGACTAGAACCTGCTCCGGCGCCAGGTCCAGTGGCTGCAGCCGAGGTGTGGGGAGGGCGAGACGGGGCAGAGCTTCGGGGCAACAGCCCAGCCCCGGCCAGGGACAAAGCACTGCAACCCTGTGTGTTGCTGCTGTTGGTGCATGTTGGGTCACAGGAGAGTGGGGCTGGAGGGCATGTCTCTCCCAGGCCCCTGCTCCTGGCAGGATCAACCCTGTCCAAACCAGCCCAGCCTCATGACAACCTGCTCTGGAAAACATTCAGGGAGGGAGCTCCCACTACCTCCCCAGACAGCCTGCTCCAGAGCGGGACTGCCCGCAGTCAGGGAGTTCCTCCTCACCTCCAGCCTCAGTTTCCCTTGCTGCAGCTCAAGGCCATTGCTCCGAGTCCTGTCCCCTGCGGCCACAGAGAAAAGCCCATCTGCATCCCCTCTGCCATTGCCCTGCATGGACTTCAAGCCCGTGATCAAATTCCCCTCGGTCTTTTCTCCTCCAGACTCAATCACCATCTTCTTCAGTGTAAGATGGAAGCAAAAACAAGGCTAGCTATTGGAACATAAGTTAATTTGCTTTGTCCTATATATATATATATCTGTTTTGTTTATACATGTACAACTCACCCAACCAGGGAAAAAATAAGGCAGAGTTGCTGTTTCGTTGGTCCTGCAGTCATTTGAATTCAATCGATGTGGCTTTTCCGGATGTGTAGAGCAAGCCGGGCCTTCGTGAGCGTCTGGGCAGGGCACCCCATGCTTCATAGAAAGTTATTTCCACCCCCGCATTAAGGTTTGCCGGGGGCGATGCTTCTAGCTAGAGTTAAAACCAGTCCACGGGGCTGTGAAATCAGAGCTGCTGCAGCTGGAGGGCAGGAAAAAAGGTAGTTTAGTAAGTGTAACATCAAGATGGTAGCAAGAAGAGAGGGGCATTAACACCTGCGGAGTGAAGTGTTCAGAAGGAATTAGCTCTGTCTGCGGCTCCAGGCACAGGCCTCGGGGCAGAGCAAGGCCTGGAGGTCAGCTCAGCTTGTCCCCCAGAGGGTTGGTGTCACAGTCCAGCCGCAGCCGGCTTCCCCCTCCTCAGCCCTCGCCGCTCGTCCAGGGTCCCCACAGCCACACCAGCCACAGGGAAGGGGCTGGTGCCACCGATGCCTCCTGGGCTGGCACAGAAGCCCCTGTGTGCCCGGGGGCAGGACCCTACGGAGCAGGGGTGGCCCTGTCTGAGCACCGGGAAGCCCAGGGGTGGTCAAACGGACCGGCAGGAGCCATCGTTAGCGCTGTTCCCCAGGGGTTGTTGCTTGCGTGTGTTCTCGCGTGGAGCTCAGAG